TCAGTCATCGGTGTACCATGTGCATCCGGACTGTCACGGGAGGATTGAACAGATGCCGTTGACGCACAACCGTGGAATTTTGAGAGCGCGTGGACAATGTGGATCCGATGTTGGCGGTCCCCAACAGAAGTTTTGTGCCCGTCGCTACAAGGCCTTATTTCCACAGGGTTGGGAATTGCACCAGCCTCTGCGTGCGAGTGTGTGTTGACCTTTTTTGCTGCGTTATTAGGCCTTGGGGTGCTGTTGTTGTCTTCTTTGCCTTTCTGCTTGCGTCTGTGTGGATTGCCCGGCGAACACGCACCGCTGTTGAAGCGGAGGGGAATGAAGGCGGGATTTGTCCTGAGAAGGGTCCTGGTGCGTCTTTTTTGTGGCGAGCGGGACGGTGGTGAGCTTCACGACGCGGAGGTGTTCGACGCCGTTGTTGGCTTCGCAGTTGTTGCCGTTGTGCCGCTGTTGTATACATCTTTGCGACCGTTGGCAGGGAGGCGCAGGGCATAGGTTGCGCGGACGGCCCAGTCGTTCTCAGATATTTCTGCGGACGCCAAGGCCGTTGGTGTTGAGGAGTCGACCTGCTCGCCGTTCCTCCCGACTTCATGGTCAGTTTTGTCTGCATGGATTATTATCGACGCAGAGCGAGCCGCAGATGTGGAATTCGCAAAATTATTTTCCACGGAAGTGGTGTGTGCGTACGTGGATGGGGTCTTCCGGGGTCTTATGCGAACACGATGTAGGCGCCGCATTTTTCACGTGTGTGTTTTTCTTGCGCGCACCGCAGTTGGAGCGGATGCTGTTGTTCGTCTGGCGAGCAATGAGGGTACTGGTTGCTGTGGTGTTTCTACCGTTGCTGTCGAAGTGGCGGTGAGTCTGTCGGCTCCAAGCCTGTTTCGCCTGCGTCATTGCGCGTTGCTGCGGAGGGAGCGTCGACTCCATGACGCCGTGTCTCGCTATCTAGGCCCGGGTGTTTACTTGGACAGCCGTTGGGGGTCCCCTGAATTGTCAGACCGCGTTTGGCGTGCGATGGCGCGAAATGGTTTTGCCACAATGCGGTGTTGTCGTTGTGTGACGGGCGTGCGTCGACCAAATTGCTCTGGGCCAAGGAACGGGCCCGCCGAGTATTTTTTGCTTGGTGATCTGGTAAGAAGCAGGCGCCACGTGAGGTCCACACTATTCGGGGGAAATAAGTGCTGCGGATACCAAAGGGAAACCGGAGCATGAACCCTCCTGCATGATGTCTTTGCTGCGTCCTCTGGCTGGCTTTGTGATGCGCACGGGCGAAACATTCATTGTGGTGTTTGCCGTGGCATCATCTTCCGGTGTCCTGCAGTATTCGGCGTTTTGTTACACTGAGACGACGCTGACGTTATTGGGCCTACTGTTTTTTCTCTTTTCTCTCCCGTTGGGCCGTGGATCTCTCACCGCAGCAACACCATGAACGTTGTGCAGCCATGCTTTGAGCGGTTTGCTTATATAAAACCGCCCTCTTGGTGCGCACCTGTCCCCTATATATATATATGTATGTGCGTTTATGTGCATAAAAGGAGGGAGGCAAGGGGGTGGGAGGAGGTAAAGGAAGAGAGAGGGATTCCCGACGCGCATGGATGCGCCTAACCCAACTTCTTGGGAATCCGAGGGGAGATGGGGACCGGACCTGAGCGTGCAGTGCGAAGTTGGATGCGTTTGCATGTGGCCGGGGAGGAGGCCGCGGGGGCGCCTAAATGAGGAGGGAGAGAATTGAAGGAATATAAAAAGAGGTGTGGTGGCGTCGAAGGGTTTGCGGGGACTCTGGTGTTTGTGTTCCCGTGCGTGTTCCACATCATGCCCTTTTTTCTTCGACTCATCTCTCAGCCGAGATGCGGCCACAGCACGGGAGTCGCTCACATGGGCCGCGCGTTTCCCGGGAACTATTTCAAGGCAGCACCTTTCTTCGACCATGAGTTTGGGGACATTGAGGCAGCCACACGGCTTGGCGACAAGCAGAAGTTTCTTTTCTACGCTCTACGGCGGCAGGCCGAGCGTGGTCCATGCACGGGCGCGGCGCCGTCCATATGGTGGACGCGTAAGCGCATGAAGTGCGATGCATGGAACCAACTGGGCGAAATGTCTGTATATGAGGCGATGGTAAATTTTGTGAGGTTACTTGGGGGTGTTTAGGGTGAAGTCAACTGGGTGGAGAATTGCAAAGCTCTGGAGAACAACATCTTACATGCGGCGGACAAGTGGCAGCACACATGCCCCAGGAGAGGAGGAAAAGCGGTACGATGATGTGCGTGCCCGCCGGGAGCCCGCCGTGGAGACTGCAGGGCATTTGGCATCGCAGGTCTTTCGGTTGCGGCGTGAGGCGCATCAACCGCGATTGCCGACGGCTGGAAAACAAACGAGGGAATGTGTTGCTGCGCGTCTGGCGCTCCCCACCCGTCAAAGCACCAGCGGGCAACGCGGGCTTTCCTCAAGGCAGCGCCGACGCCGCGAGGGAGACCCGTCGCAAGGAGGAGTGGTACCCTGCCGCCGTCGCCACCGTTCTCCTTTCCGCCCACTAAATTGACGGAGGTGGCGTTGGGAAGCCCTCGGCTGCCTTCCCCATCCCCCGGGAGGCGCGGAATGGGCTGGGCGGGATGGCTCGGTCGTTCCGAGCGAGCGAGA